CTCCCCCCTCCCTCACCTCCCCCCTCAACCCGCGCCCGTCATGTCTCCGCCTCCTCCTTCGTATCATCCTCCTCCTTCTCGTGTTTTCCCTCCGTCCTGGAGCACCCTCCTCCTTCTCCTCCCCCATCCTCCCCCCATTCCTGCTCCTCCCTCTCCTCCTCCTCCCCCTCCTCCTCCCCCCCCCCCTCCTCCCCCTCGTCCTCCTCGTCGTCGTCGTCCTCCTCCCCCTCCTCTTCCTCCTCCCCCTCCTCCTCCTGCCAGGGCGAGATCAAGACGGAGCACGAAGGGGGCTCGAAGCGCCTCCTGCACACCAGCCAGCACTCAGGGGTGAACAAGCGGATCGCCATGCTGGAGCAGCAGAAGGCTGACATCCTAAACGAGATGAAGGAGACGACATGATGAACATAACGAAAAGGACGAGGAGGAGGAGGCGGCGGGGGACGAGGGTTAGGAGAGCGAGTGACGAGGGACGGGGCGGTGGGAGGAGTAGGAGGAGGAGGAAGAGGATGCGGAAGGGGAGGGGAAGGAGGGGGGGAAGAGTAGGAGGAGGGGGAGGAGGAGGAGGAGGAGGAGGATGGAGAGGAGGAGATGGAGGATGAGGACCTCCCAACCGTGGCCATTCCCCCTCCCCCCCATCCCCCTCCGCCTCCTCCTCCTCCTTCTTCTCCACCTCCCCATCCCCTTCCTCCCCCTCCCTCTTCCCCTCCCCCTCTTCGTCCACATCTTTCTTTTCCCTCTCCCCCCCTCCTGCCGCCCTCCTCCTCCTTCCCCTTCCCCCTCCTCCCCCCCCCCCATTCCCGATCGCTCCCCCCCCCCCCCCTTTCCCTTGCCCCCCTCCCCCCCCCCCCCCCCCTCCTCCTCCCCTCATCCTCCTCCCCCTCCTCCTCCCCCTCCTCATCCCCCTCTCTCCTCCTCCTCCTCCTCCTCCTCCTCCCCCTCCTCCTCCCGCCCCAGAACAGCGACCTGGAGGAGAACGAGGCCGCGTGCAGCGCCGTGCAGGCGCAGTCAGGCGCCGAGCTGGCGCGCGACTAGGATGACCACCTCCTCCGAATTCTCATCCCATTCGCCCCCTCCATATTCCTCCTTATCCTCCTCCTCCACCTCCTCCTCCTCCTCCTCCTCAGTCTTCCACCTCCTCCTCCACATCCTCGTCATCCCCCACCTCTAGTTTCGCCCTCCGTTTGCACAGCTGCTGGTGAGCTGTGTTTGCACAGCAGCTCGCATGCCCTTCCTTTCTGAGCAAGCTCGCAGGCCGCTCGCTCCAAGGCCCCGCTCGCTCATTTGTTTTCTTCAACCGCTAAAAGCCAATATTAGTGCACATCGCTAGAAAACATATATGCACCGCACTATAGCCCTGGCGGCCCCTCGAACAGTGCCACCCCTTCCCCCCCTTCCCCGCCTACGTCCTTCACCTCCTCCAGGGTGCTTTGCTGGAGCTATCAGTGGTGCTTTGCTGGGGCTGTTCTTTCTGGCTCTGCCTTCTCACCGCCAGACCCCGTGATCCGCGTGAGGGGTGCGCGGGAATGGGCGAGGTCCGGGGGGCCCAAGGGGCCTGGGTGCCCCGCAGGCCTCCTGCTGTCTGTGCCCATGCCTCGTCTGGCATGCGCGCTGGTCTGCCGCGCTTGCCTGCCTTGCCGCGTGGCTCCACTGGGGCCCAGGGCCTTTCAGGGCCCAGGGGTCCCAGGGCCTTGCAGGGCCCAAGGGTCTCAGGAGCGAATCCCGAGAAAAAAAAAACAGAGGGGGGGGGGGGGGGGGAGAATGGCACCCCTCGTCGTGCAGTTGTTTCTCCAACCGCTAGAAGCCAAGATTGATGCGCATAACGGATAAAACGACGTGCGCCGCACGTCTCGCACTATAGACCTGGCGGCCCCTTGAACAATGCCACCCCTTCCCTCCCTTCCCCGCCTACGTCCTCATCCTTCTCCTCCTCCAGGGTGTTTCGCTGGAGCTAGCAATGGTGTTTTGCTGGGGCTTCTCTCTCTGGCTCTGCCTTCCCACCGCCAGACCCCGCGATCCGCGTGAGGGGCGTGCGGGAATGTGGCCGGGGTGCCCCGCAGGCCTCCTGCTGTCTGTGCCCATGCCTCGTCTGGCATGCGCGCTGGTCTGCCGCGCTGGCCTGGGGTGTCGTGCTGGTCTGGTCTGCAGTGTTGGTCTGCCGTGCTGGTCTGCCTTGCCGCGTAGCTCCATTGGAGCCCAAGGCCTTTCAGGGCCCAGGGGTCTCAGGGCCTTTCAAAGCCCAAGGATCTCAAGGTTTCGCAGGGTCTCCACGGGCCCCCGATAGCGCCCAAGGTGTCTTGGGCTTTGTCTGGGGGTTTGCGAGGGGGCGGGGCGATGGCTTCAGCACCCCCTGAAGGGGGCCGCAAACATGCAGAAGAGAGGAGGGGGAGGGGGGGGAGGAGGAGGAGGAGGAGGAGGAGGAGGAGGAGGAGGAGGGGGAGGAGGAGGAGGAGGAGGAGGAGGAGGAGGAGGAGGAGGAGGAGGACGAGGACGAGGTGGAGGA